TAAAAGCAAGACCACCCAACATTGTTCACCCTGTTGCCCACCCACTTTAACAATGGTATATTCCAATTGGGTGGTTTATGTCCTGGGTGGTTTATGTCCTGGGTGGTTTATGTCCTACATTCAATTAATTTACAGCATAATGACCTGATAATACAACACGATTATTAAAATATGCTTGCATATATAATATACATTCGTTTGTTTTAAATAGATAAAACGAAATATATGCCATCTAAATCATTAATTATTAACTTCCACGGGACTTACACAAACTTAATCAAATCCACTGTTGTTTTGGCAAGCTAATGGTAGCATAATAATGCCCGGATTTCCTTAAAACCACATTAATTATTTGGCAACGTAGAAGACCTAACAAAAACAGGAAATAATGGACTGTAGCACTAATAGGTTGACACACACATACACACGTACAGCATGCACAGCTTTGTGCCTACTTGGCGTTCCATACAAATATATCCCGGCCAAACTTGTTCACGGCCGAACCGGTCCTACACCGGCCTCGCTAGCTCTCTCCTTGGCCTAGATAAGTTGTAAATAGGTTTCAAAGGTTAGTTAATAATAATAATATTCAATATCAGTCAAGAGGGCGACTTCGGGCGACTTTGATAGGGGGGGGGGACTTGGTTAGGGGGAGACTTTGTAAGGGGCGACTTTACAAGGGGGCGACTTGACTGGATCTTATCATAGGCCTATATTAAATATGACCAGTACAAAGAGTTGACATAAATAATATTGAATGTAAGTGTAAATCTACCGTGTAGGCTTCTTTGCTTCTAGAAATATAAAAATGTGTATCATTCCAATATCTCAGTAGTTATAAATGCTTAACTTTATAATTCACTGGATGTAATCCTAAAGCCGGCCACATAAATCTAGTTTGTACACGCCCATAATTACAAAACAATTGTACTTAACTCATGCAATTTGAACACTGGCTACGCTATTGTCACAAAACATATAGAAATTAATATATTATTTTCTTTGATATTCTGAATTTTCCAGGCTTATACGGCGTACATAGTTGAGCCGAGGGCAGATAACAAGTACGAAGATCTACAGTGGAATAATGACAACCCAGTTGTCTATGTAAACGTCAAGTAAAAACCTTTAAATGTTAATTTCAATCTGATATTGCTCTGAAATCGAGAAAATATTTACAACATATGGTGTTGCTGATTAATTATACAATGGTATTTACTTTTATTCTGCATTTTCCTTGAATTTTTAAATACATATTTTGT